GAACATAGACTTTTTGGGGACTCTAATGCGCAATTTGAGGTGCTATGGTAATGGGTGTAAAAGCGTAATTAACTTTGACTATTCAGAAATTATTTTGCCCTCCTTCCATAGTTATTTATTTCTATTTAGTCGAATCAATATTTATATTAAAATTTGTTCACCTTTATGAGCTAGATTTGTGAAATATTATGCTATGCTAAATTTGCATTAAAGACTAAAACTACGGGCCGGCAACGCGGACAAATCCGATGAGAAATGTGACAAAAATCGTCAAAATAACGAATTTCGAGAGGTACCGTTATATGGGGACTATACCAAAACGTGGACCATTTTCAATACCAACCATCCAATACACAGTACAAATTGTTCTGCTAAATTTTAAAGCTCTACGTCAAATAATGTGGGCTGTATCGTAATTTAAATAAACAGACATACAGACGGAGTCTATGACGAACATATAGGGATGTTACAAACGGAATGAAAAAGTTAATATACCCTCCTTTCCAAGGTGGGGGATATAATAAGCATTAAAGACTAAAATTACGGGCCGGCAACGCGGACCGGGCCAGCTAGTTTTAAATAAAACAGAATTGAATCAACAGACTAACGATTCGTTTGGTTTTCTTTTCTCGCCTTTTACAATTCCCATACATTTTGTTATTGTATAAAATTAAATGAACTTTTTTACTCATTAGGGGCAGTCACTTTCGAGTTGTTTTCTGATCGTACAGGTGTGTTTATCATTTTTTGAACACTAAAAGGACTCTAAAAAGACTCAGCGAAGTGATTTTTTCAAAAAAAAAAAAAAAAAACAAGTGAAACCTGGGTATAATCACTTTTCAAACAACTGCATGATCTTTTTAAGACTAATCCTTTTGTAGATGATCGGAATACGATAATAAATAACGGGAGTCACATTTTGCGTATCTCAATGATTGATTTGCGGTTCCCCTACATTTTGTTGTTGTATATTAAATTGATCTCTTTTTACTCATTAGAGAGTCATTTTTGAGTCGCTTTTCGACAAGTGAGTTAATCATTTTGAGGTCACCAAAAGGACTCGAAGAAGACGGCTCAGAGTAGAGTAGTCATGTATAGAAGTTTTTTGAACCGTCCATGGCCCTGTCGGCTAGGTTTCTGTACTAATTGAAAATAAATAAATAAATTGATTTTTTCAAAAACAGTATTCCAAATGTTAGCTGGGTAGTTTTCTGTCTACTGAGTTTATGTTCACGAATCGATATTCTACTAAATTTACAGCACTGATAAACAAATATATGAGCTATATGCAACTCAGGATCAATTTCCAATATTAAAAGGGTTCGAGTATATACAAAACAAATGGATTGTGCAAAATTTCATCTAAAATGGACGTGCATTTTTACTTAGCATTTAAGAAAATTGATTGAATGTTAAAGTAAAGATTTTATCAGAACTCAAGCAATGAACCATTGAATTCATCGCATTACACTTTAAGCTGTAGGTAAACTCATGGCTCAATAAGAAAGGTTGCTCAACTCCAAAGAAACTAGAAAAACGCAGCTCTGTGCTGGAGTCTTATATGTCGAATAGACTTTTAAAATAAACTCATGGCTCAATAAGAAAGGTTGCTCAACTTCAAAGAAACTAGAAAAATGCAGCTCTGTGCTGGAGTCTTATAGTGTCGAATAGACTTTTAAATATGCAACAGTTGGCACCAGGTTGAATCTAAAATAGTAGGACAATACAGTTTTATCACAAAAGTGTACAGTTTGTTAACCATTTACGTCGAAAATTTGCATTTATTTTGCAACCAAATTTAAAATATCTAAAAATTATTGTATTTTCTTATTCAAAACAATACACCCACATACACAAAATGTGAATATGTTTTGACCAAATTTTTCATGAAATTTTTTTCACCAAATTTTTCATGATTTCATCTCGGATTTGGTTCCATTTCTATTGTACTCTTTGCCAGAATTCAACGATTTTCGTTAATGCTCTATAATACACCGTCTGCCTTCTCTTTAAGATCCGGGCTTTGCGCTGGCCATTTTATTAGTCCTTTCAGCGTGTTTATTGAAACTTGTGAATAAAACCCGCACAGTGAGTTTGTGTATGTGAAAATGTTGCTATAAGAAACATTATTTTCTACCCAATTTCCACTATAATCAAACTAAAAGGTACAAATTCAAATTAACTTTATCCAAATTAATATACTATCTATTAACTCCTATCCAAAGTAACTTTCCCGTTTATTTATTTATTTTTTTCTGGCAGACGTATTGTAAGTCCTAAGAGACATAATATTGGCTGCAAAAGAAGAAAGAGATTGGTATTTTGGTAAAAATAAATTTATTAAAACTATTCTTATTATATTAACAATATGTCGTAGTTAAATTTTATTACATTAAATATTTTAATAAAATGTGTTTTATAATTTTATAGTGTTATTGTATTCTTTCTTTTACTATTACAACTTATAATATAAATATTTTTACTATTAGGAAATATAATTTTGATTTAATATGAAGACGGGGCAATAATATTTTATTATACAAATGTTACAAAATCGATATAAGAGTCTAATAATAATATAAGAGTCTAATTGAGAAATTAAAATAGTTTAAAAAATATAACAGTATATTTATATAAAAAGATTGAATTTAAAAGTCGATACAAATATAGCACATAAGTATAGAGCGATTCGGATAAACAAAACTTTAAGATTCTGCGCCAAGAATGTGAATTACAAAAAATTGTCAGAAAAATGTTATTTGATGGAAATATGGGATTTAATTAAACTAGTAGTGAACCGTTAAGTGATAAATTAAAATATGTGTTTTAAGCAGATAGTTTATTTTTATTTATAAATTTTATAACAAGTGTTGCAAAGTCTCTCCTGCAAGCAATAGTGTGTGAGTCGAATGATAGAGATATTTTTTGTCGTCGAATTGGACTTGTAGAGAATTATCAGCGTAAGAAGTCGTTTCATGCAGAATCAATATAGCAGGTATTGTGAGGATTTCTCCAACATTTTTAGCCGGTTGTTCTTGGCGTTTGATCCTTAAAGACTGACTTAAACAAGAAACGTCATGCGATAACTACGCAAGAACTAACCGTGCCAAGAATTTTTCCTTAAGATGAAGGGTTTCAAATCTCTATTTTATACGTTAAAGCTTAAGATATGATAAATAATATTCGCCGTCCTAAGAAATGGAATATATAACTGTTTTTAAGTGTCTAGGAAAGATTTAGATTATTTATGTTTGTAAAATACGCCACTCGTCATACGTAAATATTTCAGACAAGAAAATAAATTTTATTTGAAAAATGACGTGGTACAGTTAACAGCAAACCCCAGCTGATTTGATTCTATAGTAATTTAGTGTCAAATTCGATACAACGTTTTGTGCTTTAATTCCATTGCTTGATATACAATAGGTATCCTGCCTCAATAAGAAAGAATGGTCAACTTCAAAGAAACTAGAAAAATTCAACTTTGTGCTGGAGTCTAATAGTGTAAAATAGACATTTAAATATGCAACAGTTGGCTTTGTTTATTTTTATTTTTTTTTTAAACAAAATTCTTATATAAACCCCGTGAAGTAGGAATGGAATTTCGGGCTTATTCCGCACGATTGAATCTAAAATAGTAGGACAATACAGTTTTATCACACAATTGTATAATTTGCATTTATTTTGCTACCAAATTTGAAATAATTTCAAATTGTTGAATTTTTTATTCAAAACAATACACACACATACACAAAATGTGTATGTGTTTTGACAGAATAAGGGCACCGAAAGAAAAAAATTGTATTTAAGGGGTAGCTTCGTTCTTCCTTCTATAATTATGCCATGATATGTATCACGTTTTTGATATGAAATTTTACTGCAGGGCAAAGTGAATTTTTTGCCTAATAAAAAAAATTCGCTGTTATACTTAAAAACGCCACGAGATGGCGCGAAAACGTTTTTCGCGGTTAAGGAACAGCACCACATTAGGCAATACAGTCATATAATTCAATTTTCTAAATTTGCAAAATGTAGAATACTTTATGTATATATGCAGTTTGGTTTCAATTGGAAAGGTATGTACTTTTTTCGTTATTTTCTAAGGATTGCTCGTAGTATTTACAGATTTGGTAACAACTATAAATTCAGGGGAATGACATGATAGCATTAAAATTAAATATTTCAAGAACCATTCTTCTGTATTTTAAATTTGGTAATCCAAATTCAAAAATGAACATTTTGGAAATTAAAACCAAAAATTAATTGTTTTGTTTACATTTTTTGGACATATAACTCTGACACTTGTATTACATACAAAAACAAATGTGCATGTGGTTGTTGTTACACTTGCTGTTTCCTGTATTATTCTACTATGAAAAAATGACAAGGTCGAGTATTTCAGAAAAGGATTCCCATATTCGATTTAGTAATGGTTTTGCAAATGAAAAGCAAATAATATGAAATTAGAGGTGAAAAAACAACGATACATGTAAAAGTTTGAATAAAAAAAAATTTTATGAAAAAATATATTTTACGTTAAGACGAAGATAGATGAGTTACTACAGATTTTTTTAAATTCCTTCTATGGAGTACATTTGATACGTACACTTATATCCAACTAATTTATATATCTTATTTATAAGCTAATTAAAACAGTCAGTTGATAGTTGATTTTTATTGTAAGTTTTCAAATGTAACAATACAAAATGCGTGTATGTTTATTTTTATATATAAACTATTTATTACTTGTAATTAGTTGTTTTATTCCACAAGTCATAAAAAGCAATACAAATAAATTTTAATAGTAAAATGTAGCCAGTATTCATTACTGCGGTTTAGATTCAAAATGCCATAAAAAGGAACCATGTTTACACATCGTCTTAATAACGATAACATTAGAATGTTATTTGCATATAACTGTAAACTCGATTCAATTTGTGGAATCGGAATTTGATGTAATTTAGTGGTCTTTGATGATATTTGGCTGAATTCTTTTGTTAAAAAAAATTGTAGTCAAATTTGGAATTTATTGAAAAACTAGTAGAAATAGTTTCCATCAAATATCTATAGAGTGATTCTGTAACCAGTTAGCGACAGTATTAACCATCGATAGTTTAAAATGTTCATTTACATATAATTTCGGTATGTAATACAAAAATAGGCAAGCTTGTTTACTTGTATCGCTTCCAAATAAAAACTTGAATAAAACTGTTGTTTTTTCTTCAATATTTTAACGATTTTTATTACTTTTCACTAAAATGAGTGTACAATCACAGCCGTTTGCTACTTATTGTTATATTTTTCATCTTCTTTTGATTTTTATTTTTATTATTAAATTATTATTTCTTTTTATTCTAGTTTTTTATTTCATTGCAATATATATTTTGTGTTTATAAATAATTTATTTTATTATAAATAGTTTTCGATTTAATACTACAAAATAATGCCTTCAGATCAGAGCTGCGTCAAGAATTGAAACTATATTTGTTTGATTTAATTAAAATTAGCTATAACAATTAATCCTTTCACAAAATTTAATCATGCCCTTCAAATAAAAAAACATGATTGAAGTATACACAACGTAAATCCAAAGACAATATTTCACCTAATTATTTAAGAAATCATTGAGGTCTAAAAATATACAAATTTAAACATACCTATGTCGGCGATATAGTTCAATTATTGTGTAAACTACAACGAATAACTATTATTTTCATTTTTATTTTGTATTAATGGCGTAATTTTAATTGGTTTAAAATAGAATAGGTTTACGAAAAAAAAAAACATATTTTATGAAAATCGTTAAAAAGTCTTTGCAAAAAACCAAATAAAAGCCATAAATCTTTAAGAAAATTTCTAAAATATGAGTCAGTACAATCATCCCTATGGCGAATTCCTTTTATGAAATTTTATAGCTAAATGGTTTGGTTTTATGTACATGGTTTTATGCACAATTTTTAATTAATAATTGAGAATGAATGTGATATGTATGATCAGCTACTCATTCTCTGCAGACAGGCAAATGTTGCCCAAAAGAATATATACTTTTGACGTTTAAAAACTGATATCAGTTGCAAAAATGTATATGCTTAGAGTATGATAATGGATCAATGCTTATTGCCTTATCAGACATTCTTCGCCACCGTGGAAAGTTTAATAGGTAACTCACAAAGTTTACTGGTTGACGAAGCATTGATTATGGATATATTTCGCTAAAAGTAAGTCATGGCTACAATGAGAATATTAACATTATATGAACTTAAAACTCAATAAATCCTAGTCGTCGTTCATATTAAGACTAGCGGCTTTAGACGTTTGACAGAACGCATCAAATCTCATAAAGCAACTGGATCAACATGTGCAACAACTCACTGAGCACTTGCAACATTGATAGAAACATGAGAAATTAACCAATATGTTAACAAAATGTGCAATGGAGTTATCTAACAGATAACTTTAACGTAAGTACCAATATAAATTTTTTACTACAATACAAACAATTATTTTACATGTGTATTCTAATTAAGAAAATATAATGATAAACATTTTGCCAAATTATTATATATTAGTAAAGGCGACGCTTAGGCAGGATATTTGCTTGAATAATATATTATTAAAAAACTAACAAAAAATATTATATGTATAAAAAGTCGTTGGTATATTGGTTCTATAACTTATATAAATTACATTAGTATCATGTAAAAATCAGGTAATTGATGTTATAATCTGATTCTTAGACCCATAATCGGTGATTCTGAAAAGAAAAATATGAAACTATTATAATCTTACTCTTATTAAAAAAGAACTTGTAAAAACGGAAAATGTGTGTTTTTTAGTATTATACGAACAAATTTGTGTGGTAATGCATAATGAACTTATGTTCAACACGATCTATCACACTATCACAATTTTAGTACAGTTAGTATATAAAAATACCAAATATTTATTAATGTTAGTAATGCTAATTGCTGAGAACGCAATCGGCCCAATTACGGTTGTCGTTTCTATAGTCGCCGTCGACTTTATGTGCAAGACGCCCTCGCCGTGGCTTTGATTCAAAAATAGTCGGCCCTATTATGGTTCTCGTCGGCGTCGCAAAATGAAGTCGAGGCGACAATAATCATATTAGGGTTGTCGTTTTTTGTCGATAGCGACAAATAATTGTCGATGCAACAGTCGACGTGTAGTCGATTTTTAAGAAAATCTATCGCCGTATAAAATTGTGACGACATTGTACTTTTTAGTCGACGTTGATATTGTAACATTCTTGTATTTGATATTTGACCATGAAAATAACAACAGCAAAACAATTTGAAATGTTGGTTTCCGAATTGGAAAAGAAACCCATGTTTCGCAAAAGGGTTTACCAAAGGTAATTTTCCAGCTAATTTTAAATCAGATTGGAATCCATTGCTACAAAATTAAATGTAAACGGGTCACCGATTAGAGACTGGCAAAAAGTATGTTAAAATTAAAATTATTTTTATATGTTTTTATTAGTTAGTTTTCTAAAGTTCTTCTAGGTTTGGAAAGATTTAAAATTTAAAACTAAAAAACAATAAGGGTGAAACCAGCAGCACTGGAGGTGATAAAAAATACGGAAAACATAATTGTAACAGACGTTATAGACCATGAAAATGTGCCAGTGGACAATGCTGATGACGAGACTGATGTAACTACTATCCAAGCTTCTCGATCGCCCAAAAAAAAAAATAATGATAAAAAGTCATCAAGGAGTACATTCTCCACTTCATTCTCACTTGAACTTAAGATATGTAACGCATTTATATTATCCATTTTTCACTATATTTTTAATTTTTCCGAAAGGGACGAAATTAGAATTCAAAATACAAACAAAATTTTATCTTATTTTGTTATTAACAAGGGAGTGTTGCCAACGCTTTTTTAATTGTTGCCAACTTTTATTTTAAACTGTCGATGTTGCTTCCATGCCTTACCATAATACCATTTTTGAATCGAAGCGACGGTGAGGGCGACTTGCACATAAAGTCGACGACGACTATAGAAAGGACAACCGTGATTGGGCGGAATAATTTATCTTAAAAATTCACGAGAAACTCGAACCCTACATCTCTATTCACCAACTAAACAATAGTCTAGTAGAGTAGTGAAAAAGTGTAGCAGAAACGTGCTAAAAAAATAGAGAACTAATTTATTGCTCATTAAACAGAGTATAAATAACACCCTACAAATAAAATTAAGAATATAATATAATGGCTCCTCAGGTCAACAAAAAGAAAAACCCATAATAAACCGACGCAACCATTACAAAAACATAGCCTACATATTTAGGCGAAGGTACTCAATTACTTTAAACCTAAACAGATATTTGGTATAGGCAAAAGAACTGACTTTTGACATAGCAGGTAGAATGCTAATGGGACGCAGATTTGACAAATCAAATGATTCACCAGTTTAGAAAAAAAGTTTTGCTCCAAGCTAAACTAATTGTTACTTTTTTATGAAACACACTACTTTTTAATGTTCATCAAATCGATAATAGTATGTTGGAGTACATTGCCCGTAAAACTATGTTTATTTGAAAGTATCCATATTTTGTGTGAGTACTACAATTATTTTTACTGCAATAGACTGTTTTTTAGTCGATCTAGCTATTTGTGTCCGCTCGGTCTTAATTGGTTCGATTCTCACGAAATTTGGCATCTGGATGGTCAATAGATTATATTTAGCAGGACCATAACTTTTGTGTGAAAAATACCAAAATGTTCATTTAACCGCAATAATTTTTAATGCTGGAAGTCATTTCCCGGTGAAATAAGAAATACATGAAAAGGACACTTCAGATTTTTGATATCCAGCTCTCACTACAGTGGACGTAAATATAGGACCATTGGCACACATTAGCATAGGCTCATAGATCTGTAGAAAAAGGTAAACAATAAAATGGACCAAAAATATACAAAGGCAAAGGACGGCTATATTATTTATTATTATTACTTTTTGTAGATTTTTATGCGTTGTTTGTTTGTGCTACACATATTTTTTAAATTTTATATAGGAGTAGTTTGCCTTCTACTAGGTTACTCTCCACTAAGTTAAATAAAATGAATTAAAACATATATTACGGTTTACTTTCTCGCTAAAATTTGACAGACCACAAAAGCGATAAAGTTGGGTATTTAATAGGTATACAGATAGGGAAAAGTTTCTAAATAGATTATCGAAGATAAAGTGAAATGAACTTTTGTCTCAATATACAATATTAATAATTTTTATTACAGACAGTATTATTTAAGAATAAGAAAACACCCTTTATTTGCTAAAACTCGTGGTCTATATTTTGCTTTGTGTTTTAATGAGTACAGGTTAGTATATATAGGTAATTTTGCGGCAAATTAATAAACAAAAATGGATAAAAAGATAAAATAATTTAAATAAAAACACACAACTAATATCACAAAAAAAAAAAATTAAACATAAAAAATATATAGGGGTGGGGAGGTATAAAAGTTGGATAGGAAACTATTTCTTTTGATGCCAACTATTTCTTATGTGATTTATACAAAATTAAAAAGGCAGTACTTTAAACACAACAAAAATATTAAAAAAAACATTATTTTTAAAAGCTCACATACTCTACAAAAATACATTGTAGTTTCGTTTATTACGATTTGAACAGACTTTGCAAAACGACTATTTACATTTTAAGTAAATTTATTTCCCACAGTTATTTAAAAAACAATTGCTTCAAAAAATGTATACAAACTGACAGTTTTGGTAAGTTATTAAGTACAACATGTTTTAGAAGTAAACGTTTCTCAAGCAAAGGATACAGCAATTCAAACTTGTGTAACGGTAATACTCTACTTAATCATTCAAGATAAAATTCTACACATCAAAAGACATCAAAAAGATATTTAGATTTAATTATTTAGAACATCATCCAAAAGATATTTAGATTTAATTATTTAGAATTTTATATGAATATTAGTTGTGTGTTCTTTACCTATATATTGATGAAGCAGATGTCGACCGTGACCAAGTAACTAAAAGACCCTCACCTCTATGACGTTCACGTTTGTTATGCAGTAAAACTTTTGTGCTATCGTCAGGAAATAACGAAGTTCTCAAAACTGTAAGGAGCAATCTGGAAATATAAGAAAATTCAAACAATGACATATATTTGTTTTTTTTTTTTTTTTTTTTTTTTTGTATTTCTTTTGTATTTACATACCGCGGTAAAACAGCTACAACAGCTGATAGTACTATTACAAGCCAATGAATTGGAGAGGCAAAGCATCGAAAAATTACCCAGTAACTGGAAGGTAAGCCAAAACAGTTTACGCACATAGAGTTGTAAACAACGGAAAATAAATAAAAAGAACCCAAACTAAAAACCATTGAAAGCACGTGAAGTATTGTCTGCAATGAAAAAATACACAAATAAAAACAAATCATTGAAAATTAAAATAATTAAACTTTTCACACCCATGAACGGATTTCTATCACTCCATGCAATAAATTCGTATATAAACAAGAAGCTGTTATGGTGGCACCAAACTCCCATATACCAACATCTGAATCAGCATAGGCACATAAAGCTATAAAAAATACTATTAGACTTTGATAAAGCGCATCCAACAGCACTATCCAAAAATCATGTGGTTTATAGGCTAAACCTAGGCGACCCTGTTTAGAGATGTAAACGGTAAATAGATATTGTATAAAAATTATACAGATACAACATTACATTTTTGTACAGATATGTATTTCTAAGTAATAAATCTTCTGGCACCCGTTGATCATAGACACCTATTGCTAAAGGTGGCAACGAAGTGAATATTAAATTATACAGCATTAGATACATTTGATCCATCATAACAGAACCAGAAAATCCGCAATAAAGTTGATACCAGAATATCAGAAACACGAAGGCCTGGAATTAGATAAAAATATATTATATTTAAATAAAAATAATTCTTCAGGGATTGTATAAAAAATGTAATGTTTAAACAATTTAACTTACAGCATTTTTATAGAAAAAATAAAGTATCATACGTGATAGACGATCATAACACCAATACCCATGTGTTAGAAGCAAGCGCTCTAAATATCGAAAACGTGCTACTGTAAAATCAGCAGCCATCACAGCTTGGGTACCTTCTTGTCCCGATATGCCAACGCCGACGTCAGCCATCTAAAAGAATTAAATTACATTTTACTAAATTCAAAATATACTTGTCACACACTTACTTGTATCATAGATACGTCGTTGGCGCCGTCACCTATGGCTAGTGTGCATAGGCGCAACTCTTCTTTAACCACTTTTACTAAATATGCCTTTTGTAGCGGTGTGGAACGACAACACAATACTGAAGCGCAGCTTTTGGCCAATTTCAAAAAAGGCCTTATTAATTTGGATCTAAAGCACAAAAGTATAGTTTAAAATCGTTGTTGGAAAAACAAAGGAAACAATAAAAGTCACCTTAAGTCTAATATAAAGGTTAAGGTTTTACCATCGACCACAAGGGCTCGTGGTTTTAAACGATGTGGGACTATCTTTGAAGCTTCCACTTCGTTTAAATAAAAGTTAATGGCAGATTCTGCGGCATCCTTTGAACGGGCTGTTAATCTAAAACATAGACATACCGAGAAATTTCCATATGCATGGCACATCATAAAAAAATTAGTTATTGCAACACAAAAACAATATTATATTGGAATATTTGCAAAAAAAAAAAAATAAATAATTACGTATATACCGTTATGTCTCACCTAATAAGTTCCATTTGTTGCGTAAATAATTTAGCCGAATATGCTATATTAATAGCAGTCTCTGGTTTATCTCCGGTTAATACCCATATTGATATTCCTGCTGCTAGCAATGATGAAATTGTTTCGGGTACACCCTCTTGCAAACGATCTTCGATTCCAGTTGCGCCTAAAAGTATTAGGTTACTCTCCAACTTTGCAAATGAGTCACGCAACCGACGTTCCCGATTTTCCATGGACATCTCAATCTCTTGATGTCTAGCCCACCACTCTGTGTATTCGGTTGGGTTAAGATTTCTTTTTGCCATAACCAAAATACGCAAACCTTCGCGAGCATAATGGTCAAGTTGTTGTTGTGTTTTTTCGCGAATTATTCCGTCGGGGGAATTTGGCGAACATGGTGCAAGCACAGGCATAATTGAACTATCAGCACCCTTAGTATATAAAACAATTTCTTGTGTGCCAGTACGTCTTACAACAACTGACATGCATTTTCGGCTGGAATCAAATGGAAGTATTTTTAGAACTTCATACTCCACTAATCCCTTGTTAGGAATGCTCACTAAAATGTGATTAGGGCTACGATTAATAAGGCAACAGTCGTAACTATAGGCAGCATTCACCAAAGCAAGTTCGTCAGGACTTTCTGCTTCGTACAAGGGACGGCCGTCAGGCGTTTGATATGTGAGATTGTTTTTTTGTTGTCTGAAAGAAAATATAGTTCTGAAAGATGTGGTCTATAAAATCTTGATGTTCGCGAAACTTACTGCAACTTATTAGCCAATCGTTTCGATTGTGCCTTTGAATTTAAAAATGTCGTTAGACTGGTAATCTTAGAATTAATAACCGCCTTAGCTCGTCCTGTAGGTGATATGTTATTTGACAATGATTTCATTTTCATTGGCGGCGATTCTGAGGTAGGCGTTGATTCCGCTGAACTACTTATTGGTGATAGAGATGGTATATGGGATTGTGTTGGAATGTTGAATAGCAAATTTGGAGGTGGTGATGGGGTCACAGATCTCGATTCGGCCAGACGCACATAACGATCAGCTGGTATGGCTGATGCTAACTTGTTTTGCGCTACTGACGGTGAGCCTGATAAATCATTTTGATCGGCAGAAGGTTTAACAGCTGCAATAAATAAAAAAATATTCAGAAGTTTTACAGGTAAACAAACTAATGTATTCTAATGCACGCTATGAAAAAGTGAAACAAATCTTAATCACGTTTTATACATAGTAACAACGCAATGGAAAATGCATTTTTATGGTTTCTAAAATACCTGTGATAATTATCAATGTTTCAAAATTTTCCCAGATCATGAGAGTAAACACTTTCACATTACTAGGAGGAGTAAGGCAAATATATAAGCTGTGTAGAACTTGACCAAGGTTATCCTAGACTACTATTTAAAATATGGACTAGTTTGGGAGGATAAGTTTCATTGTAGATTTAATTCAGCTTCAAGGTTTCAAAGATAGTTCAAAGGACTAAACCTGCTGGCGAGAATCAAATTTTGTCCACCATCACTGTGGTTACTAAGCAGGTAATTAGAAAAGTAGTTTGAATCTCGTAGAATGGATGGTATATACCCTTTGAAAACTCCCGAATTCTGGTATTTTTGTTGTTGTAACAGTAATACATGCAGATGTTTGGATTGTGCTGATCTGGCTCAAGCTTCAGGTTTAAAAATTCGGCTATCTTTATAGGCTGTAACCAGAGACGACTTGAACATGCTGTCGAAAGTTACCCCTAGGATCTTGGGGTAGTTCGTGGTATTAAATTTCCCTCAACCTGCGCATTCAGAGGTGTTCTCATCTCCTCAGACCATGTGGTAAAGTGTGTGGCCGTTGATTTCGTAGCGGATATTTTCATATTCCCGCGAGATAGCAGTTCAATCTTACACATATGTTATCAACCACTGGGCCCGATCCCATGATCGTACAATCATCCGCATACGTTAAGATCTCTATGCCGTCTGGAGGGCGAGGAATTCCGGAAAGGTAGAGGTTAAACAGTTCCGGAGATATCACGCCACCTTGGGGAACTCCCTGTTTCACTCTACGGGCTGTGGACTTCTTGTTGATTACCTAACGTTTCGAACTTGGCCGGAGGGTAGTTCTCTGCACGTCCTCACACAGTGTGTCATGATTTACCGTATCAAATGCCTTTGATAGGTCAAGGGCTACTAACGCTATTCTATGACACGGCTTGTTTCATTCCGTTACTGTGTAAAAATGGCGTGTAATGCTGTTGTGCAACGATGTTGTGGACGGAATCTCTAATGACTGAAAGATGTAAAGCCTCGAGAGCCTTACCTACTGGCGTCAAAAGGGAAATTGTCCTGTACGATTCGCCTTTGCTGCCATCCTTGCCTGGCTTCATTAGCGGGGACACCTGATTCATTTTCCAGGCTTCGAGAACTATGTGGTACTCGCCAGGCGAATACAGTTATTTCAGCATTATCATTGAGGTTCCTTTGAGTCTGGGCCCAACGCTTTGGATGACTTAGCATTTCGGATGACATTTGTATTATTACCCATCGTAACTGTGGTGGAGATCTGCCACGATGTAGTACTCTTCTCTTCGCCCTGTCGATCTCGGGTTGCTGGACAAATTGTCGGTTAAAATACTCAGCGCACCTCTTTGGATCAGTCACCGTTACGTCGTTAAAAGTGACTGAGGTCCAATCAAACCTTTTTAGTGTTCAATTTAACCGTAACCCACAACTTGCTCGTAGCGGCTCCAATTTTGCAACACTTCAGATGTTCTAGCCACATTTTCCTCTTATGATTCTTTACCAACCGGTTGACTTCCACTCTCAAATCGCTGATTCTAGGATCAGTGGGGTTGAAACGACGGAGATCATCATGCTCATTTGCTAATCCCGCTGCCCCCGCTGAGAAATTTGGTCTTATTTCGGGTATTCGACCAGCAAGTATATAGCGAACGGCTGCAGCTTTAATGATATCTAGAAAATTATTTCTACTACCGGAACATCAGAAGGAATGGTAATTTCTCTGATGAATTCTCAGAATTCTGTCCAGTGAGCTTTCCCATGGTTGAGGAAAGTCCAACGTACGGAGGTTGTGAAATCAGACGACCTGCTTACGGAGAAGATTATCGGGAGATGTTCTGAGCCAATAAAAATTACGGGTAGCCAAGTCACGTCATTTATCACACCGGGTGACACTATGGTTAAGTCTGGCTGTGACATTCTCATCTTATTCTGGTCGGGGGCATAGTCGTTTACCATGCAGGATGTGTAGCAGACAATCTACTCTGCCAGCGCAGATCCCTTCTGGTCATTACCTCGGACAGAACGCCACAACTCAATGTGGACATTAAAATCCCCTAATACCATGCGGTTATTGCCCACCAACAATGGGCTAATATCTGGCAAATTGGTTTACTGCACTGCTGCGATCTTAATATTCCTTCGATTCATAAATACCACTATCTCATCTATCACTATCTCACTATCTAGAATATGCAAGACTATAATTTCAATCTTTTTGACTAAGAATGCCTTATTTGGTGGCAAAAATGCAACTTTCTAGCGTATAAATCCATCTTCATCATATAAATCGCAGAACTAGGTAAATTGTTGGGCACGAGGTTAGTAATATCCGAAATAAGATGAAAAAACAAACGCTGACTCATTGTAATTCTGTCCAACGAATAATTAATAGACTAATAATCAAGACAGACAGGCAGGTGTACCCATGATTGGATAATAGTTCCCTATTGATCAATTCTTGTCATGTTCTATGAGCCACAATTTTTATATAGGGCAAATATTATGTGAATCCGTGAATAGTTGACCTTATTCAAGACAGACTCACAGTTCCCACAGAGCACTATAAATTAATAATGGAGGTTCTTCTTAGATAGTATATCGTTCAAAACGATTTAGTAAAGTATTATCTCAGCAAAAAATGTTTTAGTATATTTTTAAAATTATATTACCTTTTAAAGTCACCGAAGAATCTCCCACCAATGACGCATTATTACTCTGCACCTCAATTATACCACTGGCGTTCATGAGATCACGATGCGGCGTAGCACTAACAATTACTGTATTGCATATAGCAAGTACAACTAAAAATTCTTGAATACGTTGAGAATTCTGTGTAAAATACTGTCCCGATGAACTTAAGTTAAGCATATCACTTATGAGCGAGGTATTCGCTATTAGAGGCGGCGCTGGAGATCCAGGTTTTGAATAAATCTTCTCTAACTCTGAAGGGGGGTGGTTATAGTCTATACCATTGACGACACATCGGCGAAACAGCATTTTATTTTCAGTTAGTGTCCCAGTTTTATCGGAGAAAATGTGTTGCACTTGACCAAGCTCTTCAGTGATGTTCATAGCACGACATTCAGTTTTCTTATTGGTGTCACTATCAAATAAATCCATATTGTTGTGTATATGGAAAACTTGCAATATCTTACATAACTCTATTGTCACATATAAAGATAATGGTATCATGACTTGTAGTATTATAATATATGTCCAAAATATTAAAAGGCCTTCATAGTCTGGATTAACATCGAACGGTAAATAAGGTACAGGAAATTGTTCAAAAGAACTAAGCCACATTTTGCAACCAACCGCACCAACTACACACAATATTAACAGCAAAATTACACACCTATATTCGAATTAGAAAATTTATTAAATTTATTTTTATATAGTGTTAAATTAAAACTTACCAAATAACATCTATATTCATTTGTTGTTCCACCTGGGAACGTTTATAGCGAGGCCCACTATTATTAAGCATCGCTTTAGTTTCATGTCCAGCATAGACAACAATGCCTTCTATAAAATCAGTATTCTGGTGAAGATAAAAATGTACAAAAATTATTGCTACACTTATCATTCAAAATTGTGGAGACTATTACCTTAAGTCTGCTTTCTCTTAGTAGTAAGCATTCTGTTGATACTGGTACTCTCTCACCAGAGGGATGTATTAAGGCCCCATGAAATCTATAGAGTTTGGTTGTTGGCGCATCTGCCTCCACCCGACTTACGAATTTATTTGGTATAAATATAGACTGCTTTTCGGTAAAACCGCGTACTACCTGAAAAATAAGAAAAACAGGTATTGGTCACAATTATTATCAATAATATACATATAATATCAAACTAGCTGAGCCGGTGCGGGTTGCTGGTCCATCGTTTTAGTTTTCAATGATTATTCCTATTTTTAATTTTACAATCGTTTAGTAGGAAGGAAATAGTTGATGTAAATATTTCTATCCACTTCTCACAAAGACATAATATTTAAGATAAATTACACTAGTCGTACCTCTGTGATGATTGTTATTTTTGAAAGTTCAATATAGTCCCCCGTTCTGAGATAGGCTCAAAAATGTATTCCAGTCGATTTTAGCTATTGGGAAGTTCCTATGACACATTTCCTAACCGAACCAGCTGTTATTTGCAACCCCTGTATTTTAACCATACCTACTAGCAGTGTCCCCAATACTAGCATTTCAAATTTCCAGTTCCATTCGTTAACTCAAAACCAACTGATACCAAATTAAGTACCATTTAGTACGGGTGAAATTTTGAGTTAAATTGGTCCAGCCGTTCTCGATTCATGATTTATAATACATTTTTACAACATTTTTATGACAGTTCCCTCAGTAATTCAAATACAGTCAACTTTGTTTGATAATATTTCTGTACTTCATCGTACAATTTTAAGCATTTTGTAAATTCCCACCAGCTAATTGCTTGTGAAATAAAAGAATGGTTAGGTTGTATTAGGAAAAAGAGTATGAGAATATCTTCACATGTCCTAAGTGGCATACATTAAGCCGGAACAACTCTGCTGTAGTAAGTCTATTAATCTCTACTTTTTTAGAAAAATTTCTAGATAGCAATATGCTTAAATCATGCTCAAAAATCCTGAAGTCGGGAGCCACTGCTGGACACAGAAGACACACTTAAATAACAAACCCTAAAAATACCCCAAATTGGGTGGTGCCGTTTATAGGGACTACATGTGGAACAAAATAAACTGTTTTCTAAAAACTTGCACACTAAATATTGTCAAGATCTAAATTTTAGTCATCTGGGTCGATCCCTTCAAAAGTTCAAGTGCAATCGTGTCGAAACTTAAGATGTGTACAAATTTAATAAATTTGTTTTTTTTTTTAATCTATATATCTTTATCCTAACGTATACCCGTTTCAAATTTCCTATTGCCTTTTCATGTATTTTAGTCAAAAATAAAATATATATTAACGTATTTTTAGTCACCTCCAGGCAATCAAGAAACAAAACATATATTCCATTTGATTCAAAAAAAAAGAAAAAAATTAAGCATGTCAGCGACAACATTTACACAAATCGTTGTGTGAGAGTAATAGAACAGTAGGAGACAAACATCACAAGGTCGTATAAAATTTTACCCCGATAGAGATAATAAATCAATCAGCACTAACTGGAAGGGATGCGTTTTTATAGGGCAACGAGTTTGTGCAAGTTTTGATTACTACTTCTTGGATGTGATATTTCTTTAAAAGTTCACTGTCCCGGATCACTTCAGATAATTTAAGATATTTAACACTGATTTTCTTGTTCAAAGTTTCCAACATATGATTTTCAAGTAAATAAACATGTTTGCCAGGTTTACATAAGAATTAAAATGCGGTCGTTCCTTGAACAGCTGCAGACTCAATTCCTTAGTTACTATCTAAGTGTCGATGCTCAAGTTATTGAGAGAATTTTGGGGGTTGTTGTAACAGCTTGTGTGTTTAATCTTTACGCTTCATACTCTAAGGGTAAGTTGAAAAAGGATATGTATTGAAATTCTTTGGGATTAAGAATTGAGTATGTTTTAAGTTCAGTTTTGCTATTTAAGATTATTTTCATAAACATAATTTTCCTGAAACTACTTAACAATAGATAGCGTATGATCCACGATTTACATTGATTTAGGGACCTCATAAGTTGGAAGTTCTGTATGCTTTTTAGGTTCTTTTTCATAGAGCTAAACTTCTCTCTCTCTCTCTTTTAGAGACCGGCCTATCCCATTAGGGGTAATGTGTCTGGAATTATTGGTTAAGAAAGTTTAAGACGTTTGTTTAGATATTTTACCTCACAACTACAATCGTTATTCTTTAGTACCAAGCGCTTTGAAGAATTTACTCATCCAATGATTCTTGCAACAAAATCCAACTTCAATGGCGTTATAGCCTACTCGGTTTGAAAATTAGCACTTTTTAATTCGCTTCATTCACTTTCTATTAACAACTGGTTAAAAAGGATATTCATTTAAATTGTTTGAGAGCGACTACTAATAATACACCTTAGAACTTCTGCCCACTTGTTTCCTTTTTTACTTCTTAACTCTAGGTTCGATAGGGTCCGGGGGTTATGCCTATAATTTGCTAACTTCTTCCTATTTCAAGCATTCCTCCCAAAATTAATATTGATACTATTGTGTAACACAAAAAATGTTTGCAGGAAAAATGCAGTAGATTTCGAATGTAGAGCTGAAAACTGAAGATACGCGGATCGGCGTTTTAAAATGTTCCATCGCAAATAACCTAAATATACTGTTTTAAAATGTATGGGGCCTTAATAAATCAAAATAATCTGCAAAATTATTTGTAAAATTATCTTGCAATATTTTTTAATTATTTTAGTAATTAATATTCTATTTACACTAAAAGTATCCGTAGGAAAATCCGTTTTTATATAATAATTACAAATATACACGTGCCTTCTCTTATTAGCTCTAATTTCTGGACGATATATAATCGATAATAATCACTAGACGTATATTACCTAATGTTAGGTGTATAACATGGTTAATAGTCACATAATTCCAGGATGTACCCTCTACCTTTTAAAAATAGACCGCCATGTAGTAGGTACTCTTAACCTCAAGCTATAGTTACTTTTTTAACGTTTTGTCCATCGGAACCTACAACAAGTACATGCACAAATAGAAATATATCCCAACCCAACAAAAATTGGGAGTTGTATGCGACGTATAACCCATTATAAAGGAAAAGAATTTAGTTTCTCATTGTCGAGAAATCACAGAAGCAAACAAAGTTAAAAATATAGATTGTGGTAAAATGAACAATTAAATCTAATTTTTGGACTTTTAGATACCAATGAATAAATACCTATTTCAAAAGATTTGTGCCTGTAAAAGCAGTGGGTTAGTAGGTTGATTTGTATGTAGTTACGACAGCAAAAAATATTATAAAAACTAGTATTTATAATTTTATACGAATATTTTTATAGCATACAAAACAATTTGCAATATAACATTTAAATAGGTTTATTGTGAACTACTGCAGTAACATAGTTGACTGCATTGTTGTTCTTTTTAATAAGAAAATATGCAATACTGTAAGGACTTTCGGAAATGTATACTAACCTCTCGTCTTTTCAGATTTGTTTCGCCGTCTAAATCACAGGTGTCAATATAACAGACTCCATGGGGATCACTGGTACGTAATAAAAGTATGTCAGCAGGTACTGTTTCATTATTTGACAAATGTACAACGTCGCCAACACGAACATCTTGCCATTTCGATCTCTTGTAACGCTCAGTTTCACTAAAAGACAAAAAAAGCAAACAAAATGGAAAAAATTATAGGAAAATTGTGTTTAAAATCTTGGACGAAAAGAGGGTTCACAATGTATAAATAACAAGTAAAAAACACCAAAGTTTGGACGGGCCGAACTTTTAATACTCTCCACCATTTGAGAGGAACTTGAAAAACTTAAAAAAATTCGGGGCTATACGAAATTCGAATTGCCGTCTATAGAAACACGTGCATAGGCGATTGAGTTGGAATTCAAAAATTGGGCATTAAGATCACCTTTTGTGCGGCTTGGCTGATACTTAGCGGGGAATTTGTTAATACGTACTAAAAAGTACGAAAAACACTAAGTAGTATTAACTTTGGTATTTGGGGAAGCTTGAAATCGGAAATTTTCAGTGAGAGTCTTGATGTTGTGTAGGATAGACAAACTAAAGGCGTTTTCGTAATTCTAAAGTATTTTTACCAAAAGTACTAAGATTTTATACTATTTAGAATAATGTGAACGGATAGTGACAAAAAATGGTAATCATTACATTGGAAATCAATTCTTGGAAATGTGGATGGTGTACGGATTAAGCTAGAATTTTGATATTTTGTGGGGTCACTGTTGGTGGTAGATTTGTAATAAAGAGGTGGCATTGGAAATGTGTACTAAAAGTGCACGAAAAGTACTTAATAGTATTGTATTTAGTACAATTGGGTATTGGCTGATCAGATAGTGATTGAAATCTGAAATTTGGTATTAGGGTCCCTGTTCGTGTAGGACATATGGAGGTCGTTTGGGAAATGTGTACCATAATTGTATGAAAATTATTAATGGAACTATATTTGGTATTGGGTGAAGAGATAGAGCTGAAATCCCAAAATTTTATATTACGGTCACTTTTGGTTTCTAGGATTCACGTATGGATACGTTTAAATAGTTTTAGACAGAAAAATTGGATGTGGGTCAATTGTGAAATGGTTTTACTAAAGCCCTCCTCGGTAGACTTAAAATGAGAGATTTTGAAGACTTTTTGGCGTAAGAGGAAAACCTTTTCCTATTATTCTTTCCGACAAAGAAAAAGCTTGAATAATATATAAAAACTTAAAGTCTGAAAATTTAGTGCGGTATATGAATTTTTGATAAATAATATTGTCAAACTGAACAAATTGTGGATTTTATGTACTAAAAAGGCCTAACATGAACTGACGGAACGAATTTAAAAATTTAAAGTGGACTTTTCGCTGAGAAAGTAGAGAGCACTTGATAGTTTAAATATATTTTGACTTTTGTTATGATTATTCAACATGTTGACTCTTTATGGCGGAGGCACCGAAGGAGTGGGTTCATATTGTCGAAATCGCATTAGACCAAGTTTGATATAAATATAACGATGTGCCAAATATGGACTACTCCCGTCACTTTGTATGATATATGGGATTTTTGGAAAATTTTGAACTTTTGTGGAGGTGGTACCAGAAATAGTGCACCGGTGCATTCCATTTTTACACTTGGTCAATGCTGATAGAGGTGCATAGAATCTGAAACTTATTTCCAATTTTAAACGAATAGTGAAAAAAGTCTTTTTTGGGGGAGATACCAGGAGGAGTGGATCGAAAAGTTCCATTATCACTCTAGGTCTGATATAGGTGGAAGTGTTGCGTTGTGCGAAATTAAAAGAAACACTGATTAATTGTTTCACATATTAAAAAATACATATTCAAATGCTGCTTTAGAGAAGTATTGGGGTATACTATGTTTAACAAATTGTATGCTTATTTCAAATGTTATGAGCGTAATGGTTATTCCCCTTTGTGGGGGACGTACCAGATGGAGTGATTCGCTATATTCCATCTTCATACCAGATCTTGTGTTGCAAAGTGCGAAATTTGAAGACAATCTGACCCTAATCTGACGGATTGGTCGAAATTTTCATATTTCAATTTCGTTCAAACCGTGCAAATCCTAATATTTGAATTTGTAAATCTTGTTGTAAACACATTAACATTTTTCCACAGATCTAATGTAAATATGAGATATGGCGGTTCACTTTTCCAGTACCACCTCCACAAAAGGCTATAATTTTAATTAAACTTTTTTCGCAAAATTGGATATAATCGTTCAATTTTCTTTAAACTTTGCACATCCGAATATTTTTGTAAGATGATGTTTGAAAATGAAATACATCGGCACACTGTTCTAGCTAGATATACATTTTTTAATGAAAATGCATACACATTTCCGATTAGGTGAAGGAAGTAATCTATATAGTCAAAACGTGGCATGTCGTAATATTTATATAAGAATTATTTTAGATGCCAAATGAAATAGAATATACAACTCCTTGGTACCTACCCCGCAGGTCTAAGTATATTAAAATTAATGGATATACGGATACGGCAAAAAATCAAAATGTATATATATAAATTAAAATTATAAAATTTAAAATTATTTCACACAACTATTCTGCCATGGCTTGAAATCGAAATATTAATATTTAATTTTAAAAAACTTTAGAACACTTAATGGACAAAGTTTCCAGGTGTCAAGCCTATTAATAGTGCATTAAGTTTAACACCTGCATTTACGCGCACATGTTCAATCGCTTTTAACACTCATGGCCCCTCGGGTAACATCGCGGCAATTGGTCACTTTTGCCCCCTGCCCAACCACATTACCCATGTCGCATGGGAATTTTCTTACCTTAACTGTAATTTATTTCATCTGTTTGACATATCTTGGTCTGGTCGCGCACTTAATTACCACAATGTGATTCAAGTTCATTTGTCTAATTCCCTATGGATAAGATTTGGTGGCATGACGTTGCTAGATTTTATTGATATGCGTTTAATAAGTGTTTGAGTGTTTACAAAATAAGTTAATCGGGAGTTTGTATCAGATTTAAGAAAAGTAAAATAATCTCCTTTCAAGAAAGTGTTGGAAAGGTTTTGTTACAAGAATGATTTTATGTTTTTTATTTTCAATCCATGACAGTATTGGCAATTTCTCTTTGTATAAATTGATGTGTGTAAGTTTACCAAAGTAAACATTTTCCCAATTATGACAATTGTATAAAATTGCTTCTTTACCAAAGATGAAGAATATATTTATCATCGAATCTTCGTTCCACATCCTCATGTTCAGGTCGCACACACTTAAAGGATTTTGATATCATGAATTTATTGCATGTAACATTTTAATATTTTTTTCTTATATATTTGTAGTTCTGTCTGAGTTTTACCGTTTAACACAAATAACAAGGTCAGCAAGTGAATGTCATGGCCAATATAATTGTCTCTAAATGTGCTACTGGTTTGTGGTGTTTAGACCATCACAAGTCATTACTTTGAGTAGTTGTGGAATTCGAAAAGGCTATGATTAACACTGGTCTTTTGATTCTTAAATTGTCTGATATGTAGGTATTGTGAACAAACTGTACGAACGATACATACAACAGACGACAATCTCACCATTGCTATTATCATATACATAAATATTATGAGTTACGTGTGCTGTTTTGCTATATCACGTTTATGTATCACGGACATTAGGTATTGGTAGTTCGTTCTTGTTTTGACTTTCGTGCTGGAGGTGTTTTAAAGATCTGTTTCCATTTACAGCGAGTGTGGATTCTTTCCAATATATTCTTTTTCTTTTCTGACCAAGTGTCAGGTTCCGCTTGTATTTGCTAGAAATGAAAATATTACTGCATAGAATAGGAGCAATTCTATACTGAATTTCAGTTAAATATACTGAAATTGAAATGTGCATACACAAGAAAACTTCAATCAATAAAATCACAAAAAGTTATTAGAAATAATTGTAGACATTCTACTAACAACAGCAGGCAGACAGACACATAAACTGTATCAGTAAAGAAAGAACAAATATCGGGCGGGGTCAACTATGCGCCACTATGCATATTTACAGCTCAAGCCGTTTGGAATTATACCAAAGCCTATAACGGCTTTAGAACGGTGGAAATTTGGAATCTAATGGAACTATTATATGGGAACTATGTAGTAATCAGTATCGATTTCCATTAAATTCGATGGAGGTACTTCTCTTGCTATTTATGTGTTATATTCGGTATTTGTGTTTTAAGTCAAAATTTCTATAAGAATTATTTAAAATTCGGAACTTGGAGTTCAAAATACATTCTTACTTCTGTGGCAGAACTTTTACACGGTTCCCTATAGCCCCCATATAGCAAAAACTTCCAATATTCGGTATTCTGAAAATTGTAGTGAATTTTTTTAGCGGAATCGTTCAAAATTCCGTATGTATTGTTTGAAATGGGTTCTATCTCTAGTGGCAGTAAATTGTCTGAATAGATCCATTTTTTTTGTTTATATTCCCCATATACCGATATATCCACATATTTGGTATTCTGATGATTTTAGCCACATTTTTCAAAGGGATTGTTTCAAATTGGACATTTAAAATTCGCAGATAACAACAACTATTTTAAAAGGTTATGCTTTCCTTAGTGTAGAGGGTACAGAGAATTCAGCCTGTCCGAACGTACTGCATTTTGATCGTATTTGTTGTTAACAAACCATATTTTGGAAGAAGGTAGATATATTGTAGAACAAGCAATTATTTAAATAGTTATACGTATTGAAATTTCGAATTTGAATCATGGAGAAGATATATGGCAACAATTGTATGTGTCAAAATTATTTCCGACTTGTCACTTCTATCACTATATATCATTACGGACAATTATAAAAATGTATGTATGTTTCTTAGCTTAAATTAGTGAAAGCGATTTCCTTGGTTAACACCATCGTACCATTAAATAAATGACATGACCTTTCATGAATATGACCTATGTCATTAAAGCGTATAATCAAAGAGACCATACTGAAACAAGGAGCAGAGCATCGAACTATAATTATAAGTGATAAAGTATCCCTTAATAAAGAAAGAATAACAATATGAACTTAATGTAAACACTGAAACGAATGAACAATGTTTTTTGTGGAAATTAAAACTTAAGTTAAGTATTCGCACATTTTCTACT